CCTTCCTTCCTTCCTTCCTTCCTTCCTTCCTTCCTTCCTTCCTTCCTTCCTTCCTTCCTTCCTTCCTTCCTTCCTTCCTTCCGCCTTGCCTTCTTATTTACTTATTACCTACCTACCTACCTACTTACTTTTTCTCTTTCCTGCCCATCTCACTACCCAAAGCCACTCTTTTTTGGGGGGGGGGGGGAATCTTTGCGACTCTCCCTCCAAAAGAAATTCTTGAGAGAGGCCCACTTCAGGTGTCCAGCTTCAGGTATGTGGATCCAGCGTCTTGGCCTCCTCCCAGCATCTCGTGAGATGAAAAGTTTATTGTTCTTTTCTACTCCAGACCAGGAGTGCCAGAAAGGCAATTATGGGAAGGGTTGGGCCGAGCACATCGAAGGGGTCAGCGAGGTCTGGATTCCTGCCATTCACCCTTGGTACATTTAATGCTCCCTGGCAGAGCTGGGCAGCCGTGTGGACCTTGCCATGACTGGAAAATTTCCACTGGGTAGCTGAGGCCCTTGGTATTTACGGCTGTGTGGAAGGCTGATGCCAGAGAAGGTGCGTGGAAAGTGGGGAGGGGAATAATGGTCTCACCCCCTTTTATTTAACTTCGTTTTCCATTCTTCCAATGACTTCACCTGCCTTCTCTGAACACCGTTTCTTCATCGGTTGTTTTAAGAACCCACCAGCCTCTACCTTCTTGTTAGTAAGGGTTGTAGTAACTGCAAATTGTCTCCAGAGCCCTGATTACAAATGCAGGTGCTTGTTTACCCCACCAGCACCCACAGCTTGGAAACCTGAGGTCAGACACAAAGAGGGCGGGTCTAATGTCTATAGGGTTTATAGACCATCTTTTTTCTCGAGACCAGCCCATCTGCTATTTTTCTCCCATTGCAAGAGTCTGGTGATGAAAGGCAAGTCTTTAAGGCAGAAGTGGGATTTGAACCCAGGTCCTGGGCAGAGGTTCCTGGCAGCCTCCTTTGCAAGGGGTCTCAACAGGATCTGAAAGCTGTTGGGATGGGAAAAGAGGACGCTGCCCATCAAACCCAGCAGGGATATTGAAAACAGGTCAAGTTTCTCAAGTCTTTTTAAGAAGGACCATATTATAAAGACCTGCTGGGAAAGTGGGCCATTTGTTGAGAAATGCAGAGGAACCTTTTCATGTCATTCATGGTGGCGGGAAATTCTGGGAGTGGAAGTCCAACACAACTTCAGGTCGCCACGTTTGGAAGTCACGGTCTCATACTGTATATGTCTTTCAGGAGGTCTTCCTTGGCCTTTGTGGGGACTTCCTTTTAACTCAACAACTGCAACTTGATAAGGTTGACCAGGCTGAATAAAAGGCTGGTCCATAGACCCCTGGGAGGGGTCTCCAAGGCTAAGGGTGGAGTTGAATGGAGGTCTCCACAATCCTAGTTCAAAACTCCTGATCCCACACCCCTTAATATCTCCAGCTTCAACTGGGCATCTTGAAGGCACCAGTCACCGTTGCTGATGGAACCTCAGGAAACCTGCTGTGTAAGACCACAGTCGTTGAGCCCCCAAAACTCAACAGATACCTGTAGCAATGCAGCCCCCCATTTCACTCACCCCACCAAAGAAGTCAACAGCAAAGTTGTTTTTTATTTTCAAAAGTTTTATTTCATAGAAAAAAAACACCTCACCCCGATATAACAAAGAACCGGTGTCAAACATCGTCAAAGCAAGATGTCAATCTTGACAACCCCCGGATAATTCTACATGTGTGTATAAAGTGCCTGTTGGCTTTAATGCAATGCGGTTGTCAGTCAGGGGCGAGGGGTGTAAACAGTTTTTCCAAATGCTTCCCTGCTGGGTCTCCCCTCCTTCTGTGCTCCCACCCAATGCCGGGGGTGGGGGGGGGGGAGAAGAAGCCATGGACAATTTTCAGCAGCAGCAAATTAAACTTTTCAACGTGCTCAGAGGCAGCACACAAAAAGCATCACAGACACAGTCATAAGAAAGTCGGGGAGTTCCACTAGCCACTCCACCAAATCCCCCCCTCCCGTGTCCCCCTGTCTTTTTGACCACAAACATAGACTTGAGTGGTCTCCTTGCCACCACTGAAGTCTGCAATGTCCCACCTCCGGTCTCAGGTCCCGGCTGGACGGTTTCAGCTTCGCCTCCAACTCTTGCAAAGAGGAAAATAATCGCGGGGAGCTGATGGCAGAGTTTGTTCCTCGTGGAGAGTGAGGAGGGCCCCCCCCCCGTGTCCCACAGGCCCAGCCCGAAGGCTTGCATGCCCCCCAGGCGGGCTGGCCGAGTTTGGATAGCCAAAGAACCTCTTGGCTCCTTTCTTGCTCAGGAAGATCCGAAGGCCAGCAAGGAAAGCCTTAGCTGATGACGCAGCGTTCCTTCTCCTTGGCCTGGCCGCCTCGGATGGCCTTCTCCCGGATGTACATGAGGTCGCTGTGGACGCTGGGCCGGCGAGCGAAGGGGGCCACGATGCCGTAGGCTTCCCCAGTCCCACCCCCAGAGGGGTCCTTCAGGAGTTTTTTACCCTTGAGGGTCTTCTTTTGCAGAAGGTCACAATACTGGACGGAGACTTTGCGGTGCAAATCTGGGCTCATCTCGTTGGGCAGTTTGGCCATGGTGAAGAGCGCCCGGAACATCTCGTCCAGGCTGCTGTTTTTCTTGGCGGAGATCTCAAAATAGGGACACCTTTTGGAGTCCTGGCCCAACAGCTGCTCGATCTCTCGGGATTCCACCTCCCGGTAGAAGTCCCGGTCACCTTTGTTCCCGCAGACGACCAGAGGAACCTCACTGTCCTCCTTGGTCTTGTTTTTCAGGCAAGACTTGGTTTCCAGGATCTGCTGCTTCAGACGCTGGACTTCCTCGAAGGAGTCCCGGTTGTCCAAGCTGAAGACGAGAATAAAGACGTCTCCTGCAGGAGAAGGAGCAGAAAGGGAGAAGGTTAGGAGTTAAGTTTCCAAACTTCACTTGTTGGAGTTATGCAATGCTAGGGAAAGACCAGCAATAAAGGAGGGGACTACAAGACATGGTTCTGAACTAAATTCAACTTTCTTGCCAATGCTGATTTGATTCTCTCTCCTCAACTTTTCATGTGTTTTGGAAGCATCAGCCAGAAAATCCACTTCAGATCAGAAATGCAGCACTCCGGCTATATCCGGGGTCCCCAAACTTGGCAACTTTAAGACTTATGGACTTCAACTCTTAGAATTCTGGGAGTTGAAGTCCACAAGTCTTCAAGTTGCCAAGTTTGGAGACCTCTGGTCTATATTGCTGCAGTAGCCGTAAAAATACATTTTTGTAGTGATCCAGAGGCATTATCCCTGGGCTAATTTAGGAGAGACTAAAGAGGCCGATCCTTTTCTTATCAGCTTCGGCTTTCCACAAAAGGTTTTCTTTTGTTTCCCTTTTCTTTACAACTCCAGAATAATCAGATTGCAACAGACAAAGGCGCTTCGATGAAGCTCCTTATCGCTGGGTTGTAAAACCGAGACTGAACGTCCAGCTTTATGAAGTTCTGTGTCTGCGGGAGCGGCGAGATCTCGCTTCCCCATTAAGCTTGCCAGGCTAAAGGGTTCAAGCTGCAACCGGTTTCAAAGAGAAACGGAGCACAGAACCGAACCGGGGAAAATATCCCGGAATGAATTCATAATCAAAGTTGGGGGGACTCTCTTTTAGTTTTATCTATAGTATAGATTTGCCTTCTTCTGCTTCCCCTCTTCCCGCCCCTGACTGCAACCAGGCGGGTTTGGGAGCTTCGCAGAACTTGCGAATCCCGCAATGTGGCAGAGTGGAGCAACCGAGGCGAAGCGGGAGAGGGGAACGAACGCTCCTCAATTTGCGCCCATCTTCGGGACAGAAGTGGCGGCGGGGGAGCGCCGGAGAGGAACTCAAGATAAATAATCCCTCCGACACATTTTGTACGAGGCGCGCACAGCCCAACGCCGCGATTCTGAGAGTTGAAATTCACCCATCTTAAAGTTGCCAAGATTAAGAAATGCTGATCTCCTTTCTCTCTCTCCATCTCCATCTCTTTCTCTCACTCTCTTTCTTTCTCTATCTCTTTTTCTCTGTGTCTTTCACTCTCTCTCTTTCTTTCCCTCTTTCTCTCATTCCCTTTCTTTCTCTCACTCTTTCTCTCTTTCCATCTTTTTCTCTCTTTTACTGTTTCTTTCTTTCTTTCTCTCTCTCTCCTTGTTTCCATCTCTTTCTCTCCTTTCCTTTTCTCTCTCTCTCTCTCTCTCGCAGTCCCATTCAGTCTGGTTCGCGGAGCTGAGCCCAAAGGAAAGCGCCTTCCCCGACTGCCTCCGGACCTCCCCGCGCAGACACACACACACAAGCATCTCACCGGTGAGGATGGAGAGGCGCCGCATGGCCGGGAAGGGGTGGTTGCCCGACGTGTCCAGGATGTCCAGCTGGTAGACCTCCCCGCGGATGCTGTAGAGCTTGCGGTGGAAGTCCTCGATGGTGGGCGTGTACTGGTCCTCGAAGCGGCCGTTGAGGAAGCGGGAGACGATGGCCGTCTTGCCCACCTTGGACGAGCCCAGCACCACCATTCGGTAGCAGTTCTTGGCCGGGATGTTCAACTCCACCTCGCTGGGACCCATTTTCTTGATCATCTCCGCCAAGCGCATTGGGAGGATTCGGCACAGCAGCGAAGGAGCGAAGGCGCGCTAAGAACTGGACGTGGGAAGCTGCGGAGGAGATGCGCTCAAACCAGACGGGTCGGTTCGATTCTGCCTTGTCGAGGCGCCTCGCCCGCCTTTATAGAGGCCGCAGAGCCGCCGCCCCCTCGGAGGCGGGGCAAAACGGCCAGCGGGGGGCCGGCTTGCGCCGCTTGCCTGCCCGCCCAGTTCGGGACGCGGAGCTGGCTGGCCAGACGCGGACGCGGAGCTGCTGATGCGGCCGCAGGCGCTGGGCTCTCCGGGTGCGGCCAGCCACGCGGGCGGCTTTGGGTGCCGACCCGGCGCGATCCGTTGGGACTCTTCGTGGCGAGCTGGGATGGGAAGACTTATGGGCACCCTCTTCCTCCCGCTCCCCGTCTCCTCCCCCAGAAACGGCTCCAAAGTTTGCCACTTTGGGGCGACTTAATTTGCGAAGCACCGCGGAGAGGCGGCGAAGGGAGCCGGACGGGCGCTCAGTAAGGCAGCCTTCTCTGCCTCACTCATCCTCCCTCCATGGCCCATAGGCCGGCGAATGGGAGTTGTAGTGCGGCTGTTGGGAGGGCGCCAGATTGGCGGGGGGGGATAAAGCTGCTTGGAGAGAGAGAGAGAGAGAGAGAAATGGTCGAAGAAACGAGGAGGAGGAGGGAGGCTCCGCGGTCTGAATGGGGCGCAGGAAGGGGGCTTGGGTGGGAGGCGGGTGGCTGCGCCGCAGCCTCGATCCGCTCTTTTCTTCCGAAGGAGCGCCCGTTGGTCCTCACTCCGTCCTAAATTCTTGGTCGAGATGAGAAGGACTCAATTCGCGGCGCGCTTTCAAGCCAGGAGAGGCATGGAAAGAACGAGAAGAGACCCCGGAAGAAATGGGACGGGAGGGTCTTCGCTCCTAGCTGGGTTGGGGGCGGGTCTTCCATTTAAAGTGTGGGGGGGGGATAGAGAAAAGGAGACCGTGAGGCAGGCAGGCTTTGTTCTGAAAGTCGGGTTGTTTTCAGGAAACTCTTTAAGATTTTCTTTAGGGGAAACGCTCCGAGATCCAAGCCATTTGCTTCCTGGGAGGTGGGACGACTAGTCTCCAGAGAGAAAAAAATAAATCAGAGGAGAGGGGAACTTATTAGGAGAAATTCTTAAAGACTTTAAGAAATTTAAGCGTGCATAAGCGCACCAACGTGCCTACCGTCCCTGTCCTATTGTTTCTCTTATTCTTCTTTTATTTTTTCTTATATGTACCCATTTCATGTATTCACACTATGTATTCACTTATACTTATTATCTTGTAAACAATTGGCAAATCAAATAAATAAATAAATAAATAAATAAAATAAATTCCAGCCCCTGCAGGAGAACCAGGGTTTCTTCCTTTGTGTAGGAGCTGCAACAAATCCAAGGTTTTATTCCCAGGGAATGTTGGTTTCTATCTGCCAGAGGATCATAGCTTATCTTGGCATCTAGAAAGTTCTATTAGAAAGTTGGGATTTCTTTCCTGGGTTTGGGGGGCGAGGAGGAAGGCTGGGCTTGCCACACCCAGAAGAAAAGCAAAGGGTCTCCAGAGCATGCCTGGAGTGTATTGCTCCAACTCTCTCTGATCAGACTTTCTGATTTTGAATTCCCCTGGAATAGATTGGAGGTGGGTGGAGGTTTGGGGGGATTCAAATTGCTCCCCCATCTTGGATGATCTTGGGCAAGCCATGGTCTCAGGAAAAGTAAGACCCAATCTGGAAAATGGGTATGGAAGATGAGCAACAGATGAATATTATAAACGGTCTGCATCAGTGCAGGAATAAAATGAGAGCCCTTTTGGTTTAGTGGTCAAGGCACAGGCTGGAAGCTAGGAGATTAGGAGTTCTAGTTCTACCTTAGGCAGGAAAGCTGGCTGGGTGACTTTCGGCCAGTCCTTCTCTCTCAGCTGAACCCACCTCACAGGGTGGTTGTTCTGGGGAAAAGAGGAGGAGGAAGGATCATTAGGTATGCTCGCCGCTTTGAGTTACTGATAATAATGAATTGTTTTAACAATCTGATCGAATCCTGTCATTTACAGTTAAAGGCACTATTTACAAATGTGTTCACTGAATTCTTAGCAAATCTATCATGCAAACATCTTTACTCTTATTCCCTGCCAGCTGTTGCTCAATTATCTTATTTTTGCAAGATAAAGGCACTCACATAGAGTTCCCGGAACATGCATCACCTGGTCCAATTCATTTCCAAATGCACACATCGACACAACCTTGGGGTTTTTATTCCCTTCCGCATCTCCCCATTGGGCAAGAACAGGGACCCCCAAACAGCTCAGATACCCATGTCTGGGCAAGTTCTAGAAAGCCAGGGTGCCTTGGCACAACCCTCCTCCTTGCCATAGCAATAACGGAGCCTCTCACCCTGTTTATTGCCTAGTGGGGGGAGGGAAATAGTGAAAGATGCCTCTGAATTGGCAGCAGCAGAGAACAAAGTTAATTTTTAAACTGTGATAGAGAGGATCTCTTGCACGCCGCCCAGTGAAAAGGGATTGCATCAGGAGAGAGCTGGCCAGGAGTGAGAGATACAGAAACTGGGGGTTTCTTTAAGGCAGGGGTGTCCAACCTTGGCAACTTTAAGACCTGCAGATTTGCAACTCCCAGAATTCCCCAGCCAGCACCTGGGAGTCGAAGTCCACAGGTCTTAAAAGTTGTTAAAGTTGGACGCCGCTGCTTCAAGGGGTGTTTAAGACGGAAATTCGCCCTCCTGCCACTCGTGAGTGTAGCTTTGGGTAGACACAGTTCTTGCGAAGGCTAGTCAAGGAAGCAGAGTGAAGTTTGCTCATTCATTGGAGGAGATCTGGCTTCTTCGGTTTCTTGAGAAGCTTGAGATCAATGGCGATGATGAGAAAGAGGCCCAAATGCAGATCACTGTTCCTGGACTTGCTTCCGGAAACAAGAGATTCCAGCGAAATGAACTGGAGGGATGTATGGATGTCCCTAGGTCTACTCCAAGCCCCACAGGGGGAAGAAACAACATGATGGCAGTCTTCCAATATTTGAGGGGCTGCCCCAAAGGAGAGGAAGGGGTCAGCCTCTTCTCCAAAGCACCTGAATTCAGGACAAGAAGCAACAGATGGAAACTAATCAAGGCGTGAAGCAATCCAGAAAGAAGGAGGAATTTTCTGACAGCCAGAACAATGGATCAGTGGAACGGCTCCCCTCCAGAAGCTGTGCGCGCTCCATCCCTGGAGGTCTTGAAGGACAGATTGGACAGACATACCAGAATGGTGCAGGGCCTCCCGCTTGGGCGGGGGGCTGGACTAGAAGACCTCCAAGGTCCCTCATTCTGCTAAACCAGGTGGCATTACTGCCGAGAGTGAAGAGGCCCCGAGGGCTGTAGCCATTTCCCTCTCCTGCCACTACGGAGTTCCAGAGGGGCCTCCAAGGTGCAACCGGGCCTTTTCCCAGGAACTCTTTATCATAAGCGCTTAAGCTTCTTTGCAAGTTTTGGGGAGCAGGGATATTTTCTGCACCCCTTTCAGGAACCCAGGTGGGAGGTGATTTTACGCACCGCTCGTTGGCCCCAAAGTTTTGTTGTTTGCCTGCATCTGGGAGGGAGAAAAAAAACAAAACAACTGAAAACAGCAACACCCTCACCGGGAGAGAGAGAGAGAGAGAGAGATTTTACGTGCACCCCGTCAAGCAAATAAGACACACAGCCGGTGTGGGAAACGGGCAGCTGGGAGGGCAGAAATGGAGGAACACTGCGAGGAGCAGAAATAACAGGCGCCCTTTGACCTGGGGTGAGAACTGATGGAAAATTAATTCTTCCCAGCCAGCAGTTCAGACCCTGGGGCTTTGTTTTGTTCAGGCGATTCAAACAGGGAAAGTGGTTTATGAGCTAATTATAAAAGCCACCCACAGGATACCCCCCTGCCCAACCCATAAACACCGTGTGGATAACAAGAGTTAGCAGCAACAACCACGGAGAACTGCTATTCCTTTGGGCCCAAATTAAACCACTGATTATGATTCTGTCCTTAATGACTTAGACTGCGGCTATGGCATTGTGTTTGTGTGCATGTCTGTGTTTATATGTGTGTGTGTGTGTGTGTTATACAAATAGCCAGCTCCTCTGAGCATAGCTGGCATCAGGCAACATTGGCTTTTGTCCGTTAGTTTGCTCCGTTGATAGTTGGAGGTGGTTTGGGTGGGAGGGGTCTCTGACAAGCTTTGGGGTGCTGGATCAGCAGAAGGGAAGCAGGAGCCACAGAAGGTTCTGGAAGAAGCCGGAAGAAGCCTTCAAAGAACATTGTGCCCCTAAATACCCATGAAATTCATCCTAGGGACTTTGTAGGGGCCGTGTTTGGCTCCCTTGAGGTCAGAGGTCCTCAAGAAAAGAAGCTCAAGCAGTGGGGAAAGAGATGGATTGAGTCCAGGGATTTTCCTTGGCCCATCCTTGAAGGCTACCTTCTGTCACTTCTGCCCTGGACTGACAAGTTAATTTTGCCCCTCAGATTATACGACATGAATCCTAAACCACCCAACAATGCACAGTATCTGATTCCCTTTCCATAACTCCAACCGTTTTAATGTCCCTTAGTTGACCGGATGGAGCCTTAGAAAGTTATCTATAGGCTTCCTTCAAAAACTTGGCAGCTGTGGTGGGGTCGCTATCCAGGGTCCTGAAGTCCGTCCATTGCTGTCCCCCTAGAACAGGGGTGTCCAACCTTGGCTACTTTTAAGAGCTGTGGACTTCAATTCCCAGCCAGCTGGAGACTTGGTCCATGCATGCTGGCTGGGGAATTCTGGGAGTTGAAGTCCACAGATCTTAAAAGTTCCCCAAGTTGTGGACAGCCTTGCTCTAGATGACCCTTTGACCTTCTAAAATTGATTCTCCTGGGCTCCCCCTCCCTCTGAAAGGCAGCGTGTTTTCAAATATTGCCTTTTTCTAACCACCTGGGAAAGTCATCCTTTCTTCTCAACAGGAAAGAAAGCAATATTTTTCTCGTATAAGGCAGAAGATGATAACCTGCAAGGACAAATTATCACTTTTCTTGGCTCTGGGGTTTTTAGGGGATTATTCTTCATTGGGTCTCTTCCCATCCAGACCG